TTTCGTTCATCATGATTCAACTAGTGGCCCACCACATTATCGAATGTAATTGATAATTCATTATATCATATCCACATGACAAAGCCACTTGTTGAGAATAGAAGATTCATTCCAAAATAATAATAATAATAAACCTATTAAGTAGAGTAGTTTAATCCTCTTATAAACTCATTATCAATCTCAAGTCTGATCAATGTCGGACGTCGTTTGTACTTTGCCAATAGCTAATTACAGATTACGCATGTAAGCCAACACCAACTTTTGATGTATGAATAGCAAATATTTTGATAAATATACTTTGAAGCATATATGCCACATGTATTTATTTTAAAAATATGTATGCATATAAGACAGAGAGTTTTTTCTTGAAAAATAAAATAAAATTATCATGGTCCATATCATTCCCACATATTATTTGGATGGTAGCTATCATTCATCAACTTGTGCAGTGCAAATGTGCAATCAATTGCGCTTATTCATCATCGCCTACCTATCGAAATAATAGCCAAATTCATAATGGAAATCCCACATAACCCTATACATTTTCAACATAGATAATGATATTGGATGATTTTTTGGAGTTTTACGGAAAATTGAATTTTCATAATCAGGTCATTTAAGACTAGAGAATTTTCTAGAATTATTCTAAGTGTACAGATCACTTAGAACCGTACATTTATAGCCTCCTCACATGAGGAGGCCCTGTCACCCAAACTGTGCTGGAGTTTGTACCTGCAGCACGGCTAGATTTTTTATGATTGTCAGTATTTTGACATGTCAGTACTAGCAAACAATCAATTAATTGATCTTTTAAGATTAATGAAATGTACAACACGACGCGGTGATTTTAAGTTCAACTTTTCATGCTCTCTTTCTTAGTTCAATTAATGTGAGATCTGAATGAATAAAAATCATCACACGGACCGAGCTAACGGGCTTAGTAGACCTATTGATTGTTAGACAAATAAGACCCAATTTTTAAGCCAACCCGTTTAGAATATGTGAGGTTGTATATGTAGCAAAAGATGTGGAAATCAATGTTATCAAAATCGATCCAGCCCCGTCGGTTCAATTGGTAAAATCGGGAACCGGGCCCAAAATCGAGTCAATCATGCTCGGTTAACGGCTTAAAACTAAATTGCTTAAAAACCCACCGAACCCACCGAACCGGCCAGTTTAACCTTAAACCAGCGAACCGATTGCAATTTTGTGGTTTTCCCAAAAAAAAATTCAACTTCATGAATGGACCTCATAAACAACAATTCAAGGGCTTATAGAGAAATATTAAATAACAAACTCCTTTTATAGATACACATCTCTCAAATGATTTCATAAACTTTCAATGTAGGATAATGCATTTTATAGATGCACTTCTCCCCAATGGTTTTATAAACTTCCAATGTGGGATAGTGTCTTAACAAATTATAAGATAATGAATCTAACTAACAAATTATTAAAACGAAAATTTTAAAAAAAAATTATTGTTTTCATAATATTTTATTATTTTTGTATGTATCTATTGCATCCGACTCGATCTCGATTTGACCCAGGTTCAACCTTTTGACCCTTGTTCTTTCATTTTTTCAGGTTGATGACTCGGTCGATTTTCAAAATATTGGTGGAAATTACAGTCTACCAGGATTTTAAACTTCTCGTTTCAAAATTAAGATTTACAAGTTTTTTTCCCCAAAATCATATGATAATTAAAATTTCAAATATTAAAAATTATATTACAACATTATTATAAAATAAAATTAATTTATATACCCTACCCATCCATCCCACCTCAATTTCAAAACCCTCTCTCTCTCTCCCCCCGATTTCCGCAGTAGCGACGAGTTATATTCCTCTCTCTCTCTCCCTCAATTTTCATAGCATCGATGATGGCTATGCTCGCCACGGTAGCAGTGTCGCGCTACCATTCATAGTAGCGTGATGCTACCATTCTCAACAGCAGTGCCTGACTTCAAGACACTATTTTTACAGCAACGATTCTAGGCGGTGCACCTGAGAGAATTAGGTTTGGCTATTTTTTGTGTTGGTGTTGGTGGCGATGGTGTTGGTGGCAGCCCCTTAGTGGTGGCGGAGTGGTTTTGTTGGATTTGATGGTGGCGATGATGGGTGATCTGATGGTTGTGGTGATTTATGTTGATCTAGCATGAATTTGGTGGTGGTGGATCTAACGATGGAAATTGCAATGACAGTGGTAATTTTGTAGCTGAAAATGGTGGTTGTGGTTGTGTTTTGAAGTTGAAAATGATAGTTTTGTAGAGACGACGACGGCACAAGGTGTGGTTGCATGGCATTGCTTTCGTTTGGTGTCATGGTAGATTGAAATTGTGTGGGGTGGGTGGTGGGATTGAAGTGTTTGTAATCAATAAATAATATGTGATCGATATCTTATAACCGATAAATAATATGTGACCTAAAAGCTTGAGTTGCGACTTATAAAATTTGTAATTGATAAATAAATTATAACTTATAATTTTTTTGGTTTGTGATCGATGAATAAATTGTGATTTGTAAAAAAATTTATTTGTGACTCATCAAATTTTTTAATTGGGATTGAGAAATAATTCATGACCAATTAATTCAATAAATTGTGATCAAATTGTATAGAAAATTGATTTTAATATATTTAATTAATAAAATATATTTTCAATTATATATATCATAAATAAAATTTAATCAATATCTAATTTTTGAAGTTTTAAACTTTGTTCCTTAGTTTTGAAATAGGTCATACTTAATCTCCTAGGTATAAAATTTTCTCAAAGATTTGTGTATGAAATTTCTAACATTATTTTATTACTTTTAAAGAAATGAGCCGAATTTCCCACTCAAACTCTTTATGACGATGATGTAGTTGAAAAAAAAAAAAAAAAAAAAACGTAACAGGCTGCTTGGGGGCAAAGTAAAAGTGAGGAATGTAAGAAAGCAGTGAATGATTGAGATTAGGGTGGATCTCAACATTTGGATTAATTGTAAAATTTATTTATGAATTTATATGGTACATCATTGATATTTAGTTTAAGACGAAGATTGATTTAAATCAATCATGCTCTTGTGTAATATTATTTCTTCCTTCAAAACATAGCATATAACCACCGGAACATAAATATCAAATTTGGTAATTGCTCTTCTAAATTTGTTTCCCTAATAATTAACTTCGTTTATAAATTGAAAAAACGGTAATCAATTTTCAAGATTTGGGATAAATTGGGGAAAAAGATTTAAAAAGTAACATCACATTAAGAACATTTTTAAGAGACTCTCTATTTATAAAGAGCATTTTATGCATAATAGAAAGTATCTTTAAATTTAGAAAGTGATTCTTTTATACACTCCAACAATTCTCTATTTTGATTTTATTTTTCCCTGTGAAAATCTAATAATTTCTCCTCATATTTTATTTAAGCATATATAATTTTCAATGTCAATAGATAATCGATTCAAATGTAATTTGAATAATTTAAATTGTAGAATATTAAAATTTATAATTTATTAAATGCAATCATTATATATTAAGAATCGAGAGAGAGTTACGAGGGTGTACTCAAGGCCTGTTTGTGCCTTTTTAATTTCAAAAAGTGTATTATGGAATAATAATTAATGTTGAAATGTGTGGTCAAAAAAGAATAAAATATTATTTATTTATTTATAATATTATTTTAGTGAAGAATATGTGGTTGAAAATTAGTACTGTAGAAAAAATAATATGATGAAATGGTTGACAAACAAAGGCTTAATTGATATTTTTTGGGATTTAAAAAATTTAGAGATATTCAATATGAACATTTTGAAACTCTCTAAAAGTATTGGTATATTCATTTTATACTTTTATAAACTTTTAAAAAGTTTCTAAAAGTCACGATGTAATCAATTAAAACTTTTTAGAAATCCTTATAAATTTTGGAGTATTCAAATTTTAATGACTTCTAAATACTTTTATAAAAGTCTTTGAGATACTAACTTTTCGATAGAGAATACTCATATAAAATCTCAAAATTTGACTCTCATTAATCCTAAGATTTTGGGAGACTTTCACAGTGTATTCAATTGAGACTTTTAAATATTTTAGTGGAATTTTTTTTAAGTGATTCTATGGATTTCGTGAATTTTTTGTAGATTTATATAGAATTAATGAGAGTCGTTCGTAGATTTTCATAGACTTTCATTTTGAAACTTTTACAAATTTTTGTAGAATTCAAATTTTTTTTGAAAGCTTTCATTTGAAATAAAATTGAAGTGAATCTAGTGTAATAATGTGAGCTATATATATATATGAATGATCTACTAAACATCGGTAATTAGCTTATGTTAAGCACAAGACATGACACATCATTTAATTGATAAATCATTAAATACATTGAACCTACCATTAACTTATTCACCTATTAAATAATGTGTCATGTCATCGTTGCTTAACATAAAGCTTATGTTAAGCACCGATGATACCGATTATCATTAATTTATTCACTAATTAAATTGTGTGTCATGTCAAATTCTACTAGTTAAAATAAAGTTCTTCAAAAATCTTTGAATTCTACGAAATTTATAAAACTTTTAGGGTATGTTTGATTACGTTTATTTTTCATGAAAAATATCAATTTTCTATTGAAAGTAGTGTTTGATTGTTATTTTTTCATTAAAAATATGCATAATTTTTTTTTATTTTTAAGGATTTGTTTTCCTCAAAATATGAAAAGCATTTTTTTTCTAGGTGCTAATCAAACACTCTTAGGCCATGTTTGGTACCCATTTTTTAAAATACATTTTTCTCTCTCTTTTTTCTAACCACATATTTTTTATTAAAATAATATTACACGTAAATCTAAAAAATTTCCTTATTTTTTAATCACACGTTTAATATCAATTTACTATTCTAAAATATATTTTTACATAAAAATGGTTCTCAAATACCCCCTTAAAATAAACTATTACTAATTTCATACAAATCTATGAAATTAATAGAAATTATCACTTTAAAAAATTCTTTCAAAACCTTCAAAAATTGAATACACCCTGAGCTCTAATTTGAAGCATCGACTCTCTGTACAGTATATCGTGTTCCAATCGTCATCCCTACTCTCCCTCTCCCTCTGTGTGCGGGAAGAATAATGGCTGGGAAGCAAGTAATGGGCGACGGCGTACCGTCGAGCCTAGCCGGAATGTCCAAAAACCAGCTTTACGACATTATGTCTCAGATGAAGGTACGTTGCTGATGCGTCGCACGCCAATTTTGCTGCATTTTTACATTTTTTTTTTCTTTTTAAAATTTTAAGAACTGATTCTTTGGGAAGAGGAAAAATATTGAATTCTGGTTTTCCTTGCCACAGGCACTGATAGCGCAGAACCAGCAACAGGCGAGACTAGTTCTCATTCAAAATCCGGCATTGACTAGGGCTCTTTTTCAGGTTTCTTTCTATCTTAGAGTTTTCTTTTTCAATTCCTTTTTTATATCTTGGATTTTATATATGATGCCTTGGTTTCTTTGTCTGTTCTTTGCTTCTTGTTTCTGTAAAGTAAGGTTTTGTTGTGTTTAATTATATTGTTTAAGTAATTTTTTTTTTTTAAATTTTACAAAACTCACAAATAAATAGTTCATATGCTCTATTGACTATAAAAACAGGGTTCGCTGTTTTATGGATATGGTAGAGAATAACACAATTATTCCACTACACGAAAGCATGTCAAAACATTTCATAAGAAGGGGCAATTGGGAAGGTGATGAAGGGGGGAATCATTCGCATAGAATATATACTCCAAAATTTGAATCATTCTCTTCCTACGCACTCAGATGATGCTATACTCATTAACTACACTAGTGTTCTTCATGTTATTATTCTGGTGTAAAAAAAGGACATAATTCTACCATGATACATGAGAGCATGTTAACGCACTTCATTAGCAGGGGCAAAGGAGGGAAAGGACAGGGAAGAGGGTTACTTTTGTATTAGAGAAAGATTGTGGCTTGTATTTGATGTTTAACTGACTTCATCAAACTTACAATTTTGACTAATCTAATGTTTGACACATTCCATATCCAGCACTTATCTCTTTGCCCCTGTTCGAGCTCCATTTTAATGTAATTTTTGGAGAAAATGTGTTTTGGAATAGTTATTTTTTGGAGAATGTGTTGTTTAAAAATAAGAAAAAGTTTTGAGTTTATGTATAATATTATTTTATTGAAGAATGTGGTTGAAAATAAGAGAGAAAAATGCATTTTCAAAGTAATGGAGCCAAACAAGGCTTAATATAATTTGGAGCGACACTGACATACAGATATTTGACATGATGACTCGTGATAAGCAAATTACAGTTGATTAAAATAATTTGGGATTGTCTTGATGGGCTGTAGACTTGAGCACGTTATTTCAATTTATTGACTACTTTTTTAATCAACAATCAGTTCTCTCTCTCTCTCTGTTTTTTTTTTTTTTTTCCTGCACATACATTGACATAAGAATTCTGGACATATATTTTGTTAAATATTAGGTTTCACATTAAAGATTGTTTTTTCAGCTGCTGGTATATTTACTATATATCTCGTCTTTCATTAGGCGCAAATCATGCTTGGAATGGTGCAACCCCCTCAAGCAGTATGTTATTTTTAATTTTCATGCATACCTTAATATTTATATTGCTGCACTGTAGTGTAATAATTTAGCTACCGCTATAGGTTCCAACTGTTTCATCAAGGGCAGCACAAAATTCTCACCCATCACCACTGTCTACGCAGCAGCCCAATATTCAGCCGGCTTCATCATTTCCTGGTCAAATTCGTCAGAACCAGACGAGGAAGCTGCAGTTGAGCCAAACTGTAATATCAGGAACATCTGTGTCTATTCCTACCCCAGTCCCTCAATCCCAATCTATGCCATCACAACCCTTCCAATCGGTACAACAGCCCAAGGGACCTATTGGTGCCCAATCAACATCAATGTTACTGCCACAGTCCTCTCAAGTTCCTAACATCTCTCAACTACCTCATCATTCTGCTCCACATCCACCATCTCATCTCCATGCCCCGATGCCCTCGGCCTCCACTCAATCACAGCAGCCTATGCAGAATATGGGACCTCAGTATCCGCCTTCGCAACCACCACAGCAAACGCCATTGCCAACTTTATCAAGACCACAAATTTCAAGCTTTGGTCATCAGGTTCACCCTCAATTAGGGCCAAATATGGGTTTCCAGCATCCTGGTGGACCACCGTTGCATCATTCACAACACGCGTTTCATGTAAGCTAGAGAATGCAGTTAACTAGCTAAATATTTATCCTTGTGGCTATTTACTGACCTGGTTTTGCACTTTAATAAATACTTGTTTCAGTCTGGAAACAAGCCTCCTGCTAGCATGGTGCCTTCATTTCCACAGGGGCAGCCTTCTTTTCCAAGTCATTCTTTGCTGCCATCACTTTATCAGGTATGCCTTTTGTATTGTATTGGGCTCAATGCAAATGCTGAAGTAGCTTCAATTTTCTCTTTCTGGATATAACACTGACCTCCTTAATTTGGTTACTTTATGAACCTTTTACTTATACTAGTCTAAACAAATCAAATCTTTCTGCAAAAATTTAAATTCAGTTATAGATGCAAGTGTTTCTGTACTCCATCTGCATAACATGGATGTCTGGGGATAAACCCTCATGTTGGAGTCAGTTTTTAGTGAGTAATCGATGTTAATTTTCTCAAGAACCAAGTAAAGCCTTTATCGTTAGAAGGCCTTGAACTTCCCAACAGAAGTTTCTATAGGAAAGGTGAAGGGACATAAGGACAGATAGGGAAAAAAACTATTTGCATGAAAAGATGCCAAAGCTATCAAGGCTTGAAGCTCTTAAAACTCAGAAAAATGATAGAATGAATTGAGCAAATTTAGCATGCCTGTTGATTTTTCAGCCTCTCTCATCAAGATTACAGAATAAATGAAGATTTGGAGTAGGGGCATTGATGAAGTTTTAAAAATTACAGAGGGGGCATTGGAAAGAAAAGATAAGCCATGCTCGTGAGAATAGGCATTGACTTAATCTCTGTCTCCGTTCTTGGCAAACACTTTACATAATCAATTTTATCGTCTTTGCCAAATCTGTTATTTTGATATGGGCCACATCCTTATAAGCTTTTAATATCAGTTAGATAAGTGATGGTTGACCTTGTTCTCACAGAATTCGAAAATGATTCCAGTTTCATGGATAATTTCTTAGCCTACTTATGCATTATCACCTAAGAGAATTTTGTTTAACAGCTGCTGTGTGCTATAATTTTCACAGCAATAAAATATCTTTTTCAATGTTGGATCAGCCTTTTGGTATTTATTGAAGTGTTCCTTCATGATTCTATTGGTGTGCAAAATGCAAGCTTGCTCAATCTTATGCTCCCCAGGGTGGAGGTCCACAATTAGGAATGGAATTCAGTCAAGCCGGAAGCACAGAGCAAACAGATAGAGGATCCCCGTGGATACCTGGTTTACCTGAGAATGCAACAGGAACACAGCTTCCAGGACCACCCGTGTTCCCTGGTCAGCTAGGCCCCGGCAATCAGCCTCCTCCACTGCCATCAGTATGTTGTGATTTCTAGATTTATACACTAAGCTCTGAAAACGGAGTTTGGGGTTTCCTCTCTGACGTGCAATCTAAACTAAACTTGGTGGTTGTGCAGTTGAGTCCCGAGATGGAGAAGGCATTACTTCAGCAAGTTATGAGTCTCACTCCAGAACAGATTAATATGCTTCCCTCTGAACAAAGGAATCAAATTCTTCAGTTGCAGCAAGCACTGCGTCAATGATAAGTTTTGCAGTTTTTGTTATCATTGTTGTTGCCCTGATGGAAATGCGACCTCTAGCTTTTCGTTTAACCAATTGATTGCATAATTTTAATGTTATTTACCCATTTTATTCTTCAACCAACCAATTAATTTTACATAATTTGGGGTCATCACCAAAGTGGGGCCTTAGGCGATCATCTACTTGACCTATACTTAGGGCCGCCACTGCAGCAGTCCCAACTCAAATGTGGACAGATGTATCAGTAGACTTTATTGAAGGATTACCACTATCAAACGAACATATGATCATCACGGTAGTTGTAGATCGCCTAACAAAGTATGCTCACTTCGTGGCCTTAAAACATCCATTCACTACAATCATTATTGCCAAAGCATTTGTTTCCAATGTGGTTCGTCTCCACGGCATTATAACATCCATTGTTAGCGATCGGGACAAGGTGTTCATAAGCCAGACTTTATTGAAGGATTACCACTATCAAACGAACATATGATCATCACGGTAGTTGTAGATCGCCTAACAAAGTATGCTCACTTCGTGGCCTTAAAACATCCATTCACTACAATCATTATGGCCAAAGCATTTGTTTCCAATGTGGTTCGTCTCCACGGCATTATAACATCCATTGTTAGCGATCGGGACAAGGTGTTCATAAGCTCTTTTTGGCGAGCACTATTCCAGTTGTAGGGAACCAAGCTTTGCATGAGTTCAAGTTACCATCCGTAGTCCGATGGCCAAACCGAGGTAGTAAATTGCACATTGGAGCAATATTTGAGGTGTTTTACAGGTTGACCAACCTTGAAAATGGCTCGAATAGACTCCCTGGGCTGAGTTTAGCTATAATACGTCCATCCATTCCTCCATTAATATGATGCCCTTCGAAGCCGTTTATGGTATTTCACCACCGAGTTTATTCACTTATATTCCAGGCACTTCCCGCATCCAAGCAATTGATGAGTACCTACGTGATCGAGATACCATTCTGCGTGAGTTGCGTTACAATCTTTTGGTTGCCCAACATTGAATGGAATGTCAAGCCAAACAATACTGGAGAGAGGTCTCCTTTGCTGTGGGTGACTATGGGTATCTCAAACTCCAGCCATATAATCAAACTTCTGTGGCATTTCGAGCTTCAATGAAGCTTGCCCCACGTTTTTTGGTCCTTATCAGAATATTTTGAAAGTGGATACAGTGGCATATCGACTAGCTTCTCCCTTCTGGCTCCCAAACTCATGATGTGTTTCATGTTAGCCTATTATGAAAGTATTTGGGTCCGCTAGTCACTCCAATTTCAAGTCAACCTCCACCAGCAACTAATGATGCTATAATCCTTCCACGACCAGAAGCTGTCTTAGATCGACGTGTAATTCATAAGGGAAAATACCGTCCAAAGTCTGAAATCTTGGTTAAATGGGAAGGAGCACCAGCAGAAGATGCAACCTAGGAAAATGCGTGGCGTTTTACCAAGACATATCCTGATTTTTATCCTTGTGGACAAGGATCTTTAAGTGGGGGAGATTGATACGTGCCAGCCATGCAACCATGCAAATAATGCCAAGATTCAAACGTGCTGGAAGTGACTCGGTTTGTGTCAAGTTTGTTCCAAGTCCGTTGATTTGTTTCAGTTTGTTAGTGAATAAGTCCAAGTGGTTAAGTCTTGTTGATTATTTTTCCTAATCTGCAGCCTAATTTTAGTATTTTTGTTCTATAAATAGCCTGAACGTATTCAATAAAAGTGCAGTGAATTATTTGTTCAAGAATCTCTCCTTTATTCTTCTTCTCCTTCGAATTCCAGTCTTCTCTTCTCTTCAAGTCAAATTAATCCATATCATATCTACGCCTTGCCCTTATATGAGAAAGTCATGGTACTGTTATTGGAGCGAGAAATAAAAAATAGAGAGAGACACTAATCTCAACGGTCCCTTCTGCATTTCTCAAACTAGAACCAAGCAGGGTTTAAAGCTGGTCACGACGTGCATAAATATTTGTTTATTGTTGGAGCAGACTAGTAAAAATCTAAGTTTCCATTTTTCAAAAGATTGACAATAGATGTTCCTGTTTGAATTCTTGTCAATTTGGTATTGCGCAAATTTTTTATTATTTTTTATTTTTTTTGGTGTTTACCCGGGAAATTTTTGTATTTTCTTAGTATTCCCTGATTGAAGTGAATAGGGACAAAACATGCAATTAATAGGGACAATATTAAAACATGCACTTAATAGGGAAATTTTTTTACTTTCTTAGTATCAGAACTAAACATGCACTTAATAGGGACAATATTAAAATTTGACGTGGATGAAAATAGTATTTTATTAAAATTTTAATAGTTTAATAGGAATGGATATAAAATGAATAAATACATAATAATTGTAGATGTATATAACAGCACCCATTCCCTCGTGATTTCACGTCTCTACTTCTAACATTAAATTAACCAAATGTATTTATTTCATTTGAAATTGTGATTTCTTGAGAGCTTTCTTTATTAAATGTGTTAATAATGGTAAATAGGACAGAATTGCAAGCCATATTGAAACTCGATTTTACTATATGTACATAACAATTTACGTACACATGATGTAGTAAAATATGATTGGATTAAAATTTCTCAACAAACTTGCGCATTTTCTTTTTGACACATCATTCGTATGTTAACTTTTATGTAACTTCATTATGTACAACAGTTCAAGTAATATTATTCAAAACATAAACTACTAGAATTAATTTAAATTGGAAAGAAAAACAGCCTCATCGCTGCAAAACTCTCTTCCTCACGAGCGCACAAGTGAAAAATAAAAAACGTGATGCGGTAACTATAACTGCAACAGAAAGGGGCAAAGTTCAACCTACATGACTAGAAAGCCTAAAAAAGCTTGAACAACGCAACAAACGTATCACTTACATTTATTTATCACAAACATTACTTTCCCCATTTATAATTAAGTTGACATTTTATCTTCCAAACATTCATTTTCATTTTTCTTTATTTTTTAACCAAAGAAAAGGTATCTTTGTCTTTTTAAATTCCATTTCTGACAATCAACCACCATTACTTTTTCAACCCAACAAAATATAAATTATCTCCTTTTGAATCAAAATTTTAAAGATTCAATGCAATTTAATTTGATCTCACTGCCAGTGTTACAACTTTACATGTTTTTTTTCCCTCTCTTATCTTCAAAAGATAAACTGCAGATTACATAGGTTGTTATTATATTATTTTGTTTTAATATCACGATAATAATATTTTTAAATATTTGCTGAAAGTACTTTAAATTTAATAATTCTCTATCATTTTCCATACGGATACTTCTTATTTTAAGTTAATTTCTTATAAATTAATATAAAATAAAATTGGAAGCTCATTTGTATTTGATCACCATTTTCATTATTTTGTTACACTATCTTTTGCAATCACATTCTTCAATTTTTTTTACATAAATCATTCAAATGTATATTCAATTTTATTTGAAATAGTTGCAGTGAGAAAATAATCATACAAACGAGCACAACCCTTTGCCATTGCATTTTAATTTTGTTTGCCATAATTTATATTGCTGGTTGAAATTTGACATTTTGTTAATTTTATCTTCAAAATTTGGGGCATAGTTGTCTTTATAATTATATTAAGCAAATGTTTGGATCGATTAAAATCTAGATTTTAATCTAAGTCAAAATCAACAATTAATTTTAACCACATTTTTTATGGGTTCCAAAAATTTAAATCAACATATTTTTATCTACTTCTATCAAAATCTACTAAAGTGTTGATTTTAGGGGTTGTTTGAGCCCTATTTTTTTTTTAAAAAAAAAATCATTTCAAAATAGTGTTATGATGGAGAATGTGTGGTTAAAAAATAAGAAAAAGTTTTGGATTTGAGTGTAATATTATTTTATTGAGAAATGTGTGGTTGAAATGGTGTCAAATCATTGTTGAAAAATATATTTTGATGAAAAATGTGACTTAAACAAAGCTTAATCTCCATCAAACCAGCTAAAATTCTATACGAAGAGACTCAAAATATAGGCGCCAATTTGAAATTTGCATAAGGCTCTCAAAATATCAGGGCCAGCCCTAGAGACTGACAAAGGTTGTAGTAGCCCATCGGGCTTCATGCAATCGGTTTTGTATCGTTGACAAACATCGTAGTGTTGCAAAAATTCCTTTACTGCTCGGCACATATTCTGTCACCAAAAGCTGAACTTAATGCGAGAGAGAGTTTTATGAAACGCATAATGTCCTCCAGTAAGTGTTGAGTGGCAATCTGCAATTATTTGTGGAATTAATGTTGAAATAGGACTCAAGTAAACCTTGTCATTTTTGAACCACACTCTATCTCGTTGTATTAGTTGGTGGGTTAACCGCACTTGGAGAAATTTCTCATAAAATGGATCCTATTGCACTTCTTTTTGTAATATCGACCACCAATCTGCATGAGGCATAGAGATGGATAAGAATTGAAATTCAACCACACGAGATAAGGAATTAGCATCTTGATTTTCGGGTCCCCGCTTATACTTAATTTCATAATCATAACCAAGGATATGGCATCATAAGGAACTCGTAGTGTCCTTCATGTGTTCAAAAAGCTGTTTTTGGAATGTCTTCTTCTTTCACCCGTATCTGGTGATAACCAGCCTTTAAATCTAATTTAGAGAAGAATTTGGCTCCACAAGCTCATTGAGAGGCTCAGCAATTTTCGAAATCGGGTATTTGTCTTTGTTGCTCAGCAGTCTACACAAAATCGCCTCTCGTCGTCGGCTTTCTTTACTAATAAGAAAGGTGAGGAAAATGGGCTATCACTGGGTCTTATCAATCCAGATTGCAAAAATTCCCTTACCATGTTTTCTGTTTTAGTTTTTTGGTAGTAAGTGTATCGATATGGCCTAATGTTTACAGGCTGTGTGTTTGGCTGTAGGGGAATACAATGATCACGTGATCGCTTTGGAGGTAGGCTATTAGGAGGTTCAAATACTTGATGGAAGTCAGTCGGGAGTTGGGCCATGTCACAAGAGTATGATTTTGGTTGAGAGTTATTAATGGAGCGTATGATGTGGAAGAAAAGTCCAGTACCTTGTAGGTAACCAAATTCCCTATATATCTGTTAAAGCTTCGTTGCCAGCCTGTTTCAGTCCTTAGAATGTGTGGGAGACTCTTCCATATTTGATTGTCATGGT